TCTTTCTCATCATTGATGTTTCTCTCTCTTCCTCTCTGAAATCAATAAAAAAATATATTTTAAAAAATGAGCTACTTTCATTTGACCCAAACAATCTTTTTGTAACTTAGGCAGTGGTGCTGTGCCCATAGGGTCAATCCTTGAGGTGGGAACACGGAATTATTTGATGCTGGAATTATTGGGAAGGGGGATCCGTTAAAAATTTTGCATACTGATGGCTCTATCCACACTGAACACATTGGGACCAGTTAATCTGGATGAGACAGAAGTAAGAGACATGATTGTGTCTAGATTTTAGCCTCTACCATGTGTTAGGCATCAGACTGGAATACCCTTATATATACATAATCTTATTTGGTCCTCATTATTATTGCTTTCATTTTACAGCTGAGAACTCTGGGGCTCAGAGAGGTTAGAACACGTACCTGAGAACACACAGCTAGAAAATGGCAGCCTTGAAATTCGAAAAGTCTGACTTCAGAAGCCTTTACAGATGCTGATTACAGATGTTGATGGGCAAATTTTACATCCCAAAGATTTAATGGGCCAGTTATATTCACTCAACAAACAGTACTCAGCATCTACAAAGTGCTAGGTGTTGTGCTGGGTGATAAGGAAGGAGAAACAAAGACCAAAGACGACGACGACGACGAATAAGACACAAGCTTGCACTGGAGGTGCCAGGGTATGATGGGGAAACACTTAAAAGAGGGTCAGGATTCTTAAGGAATGGGGCAAGGGTGTGAAAGGGCCAGGTATGGGGAGTGGGGGCGGGGTTTCTCAAGGAAGGCCTCACAGAGATGCCAGAAAGATCCTTCCTGAGCCAAGCCTTCAGGGATGAGTGCGAACTGGCCAGCTCAGAAGGGGTTTACCAGGTAACAGGACTAGCGCATACACCAGCATGGTGAGACACTTCCGTCTGCTCCTTGTTTAGCTTTAACAAAATCAACCAAGCCAAATTTTAAAAGCCCAGAGAAATGCAGTGCTCACTGGGAACCTCAGCTCTTCCAAACAGCTAAAAATCAACATTAAAAAAACAAGTTCTAAAGAGTAAAACACTCGCCACAAACCTCATGCCCTAACCCGTGGTCGCAAACTGCGGCTCGCGAGCCACATGCGGCTCCTTGGCCCCTTGAGTGTAGCTCTTCCTGACCCTTAGGGGTACCCTAATTAAGTTAATAACAATGTACCTACCTATATAGTTTAAGTTTAAAAAATTTGGCTCTCAAAAGAAATTTCAATCGTTGTACTGTTGATATTTGGCTCTGTTGACTGAGTTTGCCGACCACTGCCCTAAGCCCACGCCTGTGATGTTTTGAGAGTGCCCAAGCCCTCATTTAAAGCCAATTGTCTTTTATTTTCTGAGTTGATTTCCACATGACTAGTTGCATGATTCCTCAGGCCTTGGCAGCAAATTCGAAGGGTGGACAGGTGCAAAGATGGCAGGAAGAAGGGGCAACCAAGATAGAAAAAAAAAAAGAGACCTGGAAAGATGAGTTGAGAAACTAGAAATTTGTCCTAGCCCAGTGGTTCCTAATGCCGCGACCCTTTAATACAGTTCCTCATGTTGTGGTGACCCCCAATTTCATTGTTACAAATTGAACATAATTAAAGCATAGTGATTACTCACAAAAAACAATATGTAATTATGTATGTGTTTTCCGATGGGCTTAAGCGACCCCTGTGAAAGGGTCGTTTGAGACAGGTTGAGAACCGCTGCCCTAGCCAGTTTGGCTCAGTGGATAGAGCATTGGCCTGAGGACTGAAGGGTCCCATGTTCAATTCTAGCCAAGGGCGCATCTCCAGAGGTGGGTGTGCAGGAGGCGGCCAATCAATGATTCTCTCTCATCATTGATGTTTCTATCTCTCTCTTTCCTTCTCTCTTCCTCTCTGAAATCAATAAAAATATATTTTTTAAAAAAAAGAAGCTAAAAAATTCCATAGCTTCTTTCAGGACATCATTGTATAATATAGTACAATAGCTTGCTCAATTCAACAGGCATCTAATACGCTCCAACTGTGTACCAGGCCCTCTCTTAGGCTTGGCAGGGGATGTGAAAACGTAAAACCCGGCACTGTCCAGTTCAGTTTGGTAGGAACAAAAGGTGTATAAATTGAGACAGGAAGAATGTCAGGGTGTGAAGGGTCTCTTCACATTGTGTATGTAATAAAGGGCAGGAAGGGCTGCCTGAAGACAGGGAAGTCATTTGTCACTAAAGAGCAAGACACTTAAGGAAGATACTTCAGTTCCCCGTGCCTCAGTTTCCTCTTGTGTATAATGGGGATAACAGCAGTACCCTTTCAAAGCAATGTTGAAGATGAGATGGGCTGACATACAGAGTAGTGTAGGATGCCTGTTGTCATTGCCTATGTACCTCACTACTTCCTTCCTCAGTCCTTAGATTTGGTAATTGCTCAATAAATATTGCTGGACAAATGAATTCACACATGAATGGGTAAGTGATGCTACTGAGTCAAAAGGGAAAAAAAAATTATTATGTAAGGCATTGAGCTCTTTCATAAGCCTTGCAGACCATGGAAAGACTGCCATGCAAACAGTTTAAGAAACAGGTGTGATGTTTAAGATATGTTTCAGACACGGAAGAATCATTCATTCCTTCACTTTTCTGCATAGATGGCCTGACATTTTAAACAAGCCCAGGAAGTGAGATGAAGAGATCACAATGAAATGAGAGGATATCTCATTCTAAAAGATGGCTGGAGGGGCCCTGAAACCCAGGAGTTAAGCTCTGTGGGAAATGCTTCGATGACAGCAAACCCCAACCACCACACACTCACCCTGCCCAAAACCAGCGCTGTGGGCTTCTCCTTCCTTAAATTATACTCACTCCCAAAAGGATAAACACAAACATTGTCTTTAAAAGATGTTAAAGATCATAAAAGTCAAACCAGCTTGAAAACATAGGCTACGAACACAAACAGATGGAGCTACAAGAGGACCTGGCGGTGTCTTACAGATCTCCACCCTTATTTTACAGATGTGGAGACTGAGGCCCGGAGGAGGAAAGGGAGTCACCAAAGTCATCATTTCCAGAGAATGGCAGACAGGGGTGGAGCAGGGGGCTCAGATTCCCAAGCTCGAACCCTCTAAGGGGACTGCATCTTCCTGCCAAAGGAAACCTTGAAGAAAAAAATAAGAGGCGGCTCCAACTCCAGCAGGGGATACAGACTGCGGTGAGGAGGCCCTAGGGGAGGAGAGGCAGTAAAGACTAAAGAATGATTGTGATGGGGAAGCTAAGAACAAGGCTGATGAGCACACGCAGCGGGAAGAAATGTCAGCCCCTCTGCGCTTGGCGTGGGGCTAGGAACAATCCGGTCCAATCCAAGCGCCTGGTTTTTGCAGGTGTATCCAACCCCTTCTACACAAACACACGCAAAGACCAATGCCTGCTCCCAGGTGTTTTCGTCTCGGTCGGAATTTCTCGCGGGTGGGTAGGTGGGTGGGGAGGGAAAGCCTCAGAGATACCCTCTCTTTAAGGTAGCGCCCTCGGCCGGCAGCGGAGGAGGAAGAGCTCGGGCAAAGAATCTACCGGATCAACGCGGAAGTCGCGACCCGCCCTCCCCACCCCCCACCACCACCAGAACCACACCCCCCCGCTTGGCTCCTTCCTTCCCCTCCCCCAACGGTGATCAGAGCCAGGTGAAGGGACCGGGAGCTGGAGGGCGGGTTTCCGAAAGGCTTCTCTTGGAGACTCTGGGCCCGCGCGCCTGCTCGCTCCTGCGCGCACTCACAGGCACACCTAACACACACGCACGGCCGCGCACACGCTCGCGCGCATGTAGAGATTCACCAACACACACGCACTCGCATGCACACATCTGGTACCCCCAGAGGCCCGGCCGCGCCCGCCCCACCTCCCCTTCAGCCCCCGGGAAATGGACAGGCAGCAACATGAATGAAATCTGCCCAGAAAGACTGCATTTCAGCTCCAACCACGCAACCTCCGGCCAAACCGCCGAATAGAAAACAAAGTTTTATTTCGCTTTTAGACTCTCCAGTTACGCTTCTACCATTTCCTGTGGAAAATGGACGCTTTGAAGTGTCTAGCTCGGCTTTCACAGACAGGACCGCCAGCTCGAGCTCTTGAAAACAAGAGCCCACCCCAACCCCACCCACTCCGCCGCCAGAACTGCAGGTTCAATCCCACCCAGCTCCTGCCTCCAAAACGGGGGGAAGCGGGAAGAATGACAGAACCTGCTGGAAACGACGCCCTACACCGACACCTCCCCCTCCAGGACCCCGCCCCACTCCCATCCTGCCCGGGCCCCTGGTGGTGCTCCTTAAGTCAAGTGGCAATGGCTGCAGCTCCTGCCACACGGCTCCCCAAACGGCACGAGCTGGGAGGTCGAAATTGGGGTGGGGTGTCCATGCGCAGCACCCACCAGCTGTGCGCTCTGCCCCGGAAAAACTTGGGACCCATAAGTCTTCCCGCTGCACCTTCTCCCCACACACCCCTCTCCCCTGCTGTCTCAGCGACTAGCGAGCTGAGCTCTCAGGGGTTCTGCCTTTACGCCGCGGGGCCTCTCCACCAGGGGCCCTGACTGCCCCCCAAGGGTGCGGGGAAGTGTGGGAACCAAGCGGCGGAGGAAAGAAGGGCCTCCTCGCGAATTCAGGGAGACAAACTCGTGGGCTTGAGAATTTGGCATCTTCAAGGTCAAAAAAACAAGGCTCGGGCAGAAATATGGACTACGACTCGCAAAGGATCGCAAACCTGCCCCCTAACAGGGTGTTGGGTTCCTCGCAAGCAGGCAGGAGGCAGCCCCGCCGGGCCCCGCAGTGTGGGCGGAACCGCGCGCTCTCAGACCTGGGACCTCAGGAGCCGGAGCCCAGGAGGGAACAGGCGGGGTCCCCCCACCTCCAACTCGGCGGTCCCCTCCGAGGGACGGCCGCGGGTGGCTGGAACGACGCGGGAGGGGGGCGCGAGGCAAACTTGCCAGGAGAGTTGGCCGTGTTGAGCAGCACTCGCGTGGCCACTTACCGCTGGCGTTCTTCCCGCAGATGAGGTGCTGGTAAGGCTGCAGGAGCCCCCAGATCTCGGAGTCGTTGTTGACCGTGTGCTCCAGCGTCTCCACGGTGAACTTGGGCGCCTCGTGGAGTGTGTGGTGGTGATGGTGGTGGTGGTTGGCCGCGGCGGCCGGCGGGGGGGCCACGGCTGGGGCATTGGCGGCCGGAGGGGCGCAACAGCTGCTGCTCCCGCTGGCGCTGCTGGCCGCGCTGCAGGCGCCGCCGCTCGCCGCTCCCCCTCCGGGTGCCTCCCGCTCCTTCTCCGCCGCGGGGGCCGCGTTGGGGCCCGAGCCCGGGCCTGGGCCGGAGCTGGAGGCCGAGCCGGGGCCGCTGCAACTCCGGGGCAGCCCCGAGGCCACGACTCGCGCGTAGATGTCCCGGAACAGGCTCTCCATGCAGGCCGTCAGGTAGATGGCGGCGTGCTCGTGGATGCGCAGCGCCACGCGGCTGTCCACCATCCAGCGGTACACGCGGCCCACAGAGAAGGTGAGGCCGCAGCGCGCTGACTTGCCGCGGCCCAGGCGGTCGCCGCCGGCGCTGCTCATGTTGTAGAGGGACAGCGCGGCCAGCGCGGCCGCCGTGCAGTGCGCCGCCAGGCTCCAGGACAGCACGATCTCCATGGCGCTCTGGATTTCGTACTTGGTGCACTTAGCGAAGCGCAGGCTGAGGCGCTGCGCCTCCTTGGCGATGCGTACCAGCGCCCGGCTCACCAGCATCGACAGCTTGGCCAGCGCGTCTTTGGGCAGGCCGCCGGGGGCCGCCGGGCCTGCCCGGGGATCCCGCGAGCGCAGCAGCAGCGCCTCCAGCTCCTGGAGGGTCCAGGGGACCTCGTCGAGGTCCGGCAGCAGCCGCGAGCAGTGCTGGCCCGCGCAGTCCAGCCCTTCGGAGTCTTCCACCAGGGCAGTGTTGACGGTGTCAAAGCTGTTGTGCCGGCTGTGCATGGAGTCAGCTAGAGGCGGCCAGCCGCTCCCGCCATACGGGGACGCCGGGTGCGAGTCGGAACAGCACAGGGACAAGTTGGAGGAGCGCACCGAGTCCGCCGCGCCACCATAACCCGAGTCCAGCGTCAGATCCTCCAGCGTTCGGACTACGGGCTTCTTACCTCTCCTGGCCATCGCTGCGCCACTTCATGCTGCGGCCGCCGGAGAGCCGGGGTAAGGAGCAGCGAGCGGCGGCGGGCGCCGGGGCGCGGGGAGAGCCGAGTCCGCTCCCGCTCGGCTCACTTTGCCACCAGCCGCTACTCCCAAGCGCTACTACTTTCCGCCGCCTCCCCGAGCCGTCGCCGCTGGAATGCACCCGGCAGACCCCGGAGTCATCTTCCAGAGTCCGGGCCGGAGCTGGGCACACCGAAGAGCGGGCCACCGGGACTCGCCCCTTCCTTCCAAAATAAAATAAAAAGTATCTGACCTTCTCCTTCCTGGGCCCGGCCGGGTGCACAAGCCGCCGGGCGCCACCTCAGTGTTCGTAAGACGGAAATCAACTCGGATGCCGCCGCCGCAGAAGCAGCTCCGGCGGCAGCTGGCTCCCAGCTCCGGGCTCCGGGCTCCCGGCTCCCAGATCCCCGCGCGGGGATCTCTCGGCGCCCGCTCTCCCTGCACTGAAGCGCAGCAGCGACCGCGGCGGCTCAACACCCTGGCCAAATCCCGCAAACCCCGGGCAGCCTGCGGGGCGGGCGTATGTAAAGCAGGACCCGAGGAGAGCCAATGGTATCAGAGGATGCTAATTACCTCGCCTTTTTTTTTTTTTTTTTTTTTTTTTAATTCTTCAGCTCCACGCATCCCCGCCCCTCACACACGCCCCCTGGCTGTAATCAAGGCTACAGGAAGAGGGGAGCAGCCGCCTGAGAATTGGGGGGGCTTGTGAGAGGGTAGGGACGCAGAAGTCCCTGCTGCTGTCCCTGCCCCTCAGACTCCCAGCTTTGGTACCAGAACGGGAAGGTGGTAGGTAGGTTGGGCAGGTGATTCCGCCCTCACCGAGGTGCTCCGCTTGGCTATTCCTACAGTGTCTGCCTGGAGTCTCTGGGCCTACCGCCGCGTTTCGGATTTCACTTCCTTTTTTCTTTACTACACGAAGCACGTTTTTTTCCTGCCTCTCTACTCTCCCTCACCTTCGGGTACCCAAACCAATGAAGGCGGCCCTCTTTCAGCCCGTTTGCCCCAGTGGAGATAAGAAACCAGGCGAGCTGAGGGACCAGAGAGATGAGACCACTGGAAGGCCGAATCTCTGGACTGTAGCCACCTGCCATCAGGGCACATTAACTAAGTACCTTTCAGTAGCCCAGAAGACCCTGGGCCCATCCTTCAAACCCTGGAAGGGGGGGGGGGGTGGTGGAGGGAAGGCTCATGTCCCACTTTGCTGTCCTGGTGGGTATGGTTCTAGGCAGTTCAGCCTTTAAAAAGGTAAATTTGCACCGAGGGGAGTTTACTGTTTGACTAAAGAAAGATACAACGTATATGCCTGACTTGGCTGCATGTATGTCAAATGGCATCGTCTTGTTTGTCTCCACCCACCAGGCCAGAAACCATATCTTCTTCCCCTGGGTACTCCCAGCTCCCACACAACATCCGCCTGGGATAGGTCACCCTCTTCCTCTGGCTGGCTAGAATTTTCAGCGTAGAAGTCCCCTCCTGTAGCAAGGTAGCCCAGATCCTTCAATGCTGGCTTGGGTGCTTGGACTTACCCCCACTCCCCCCACACACACCTCATGCCTTCTGTGACTGTTGGTTTAAGATTTCTAACTTGCACATTGGACTAGGGGTTCCCCATGCATAAGCCCTCAGTAAATGTGTTGTAAGTGGGTGGATGGAGGAAGGACACACTTTTGAACTGTAGGTTTGATGGTTCAACAATAGACTTTCCCAGACAACCCAGTAGATTGTCTGATGTTTCTCATATCTGTCAACCCAAATCCACCATCACCCCTCCCTTCACATCAATGAATCACCCTCACCCTGTAGCTACCATCCGAATCTATATCTCATCATCTCTCACTTTGACTACTATTATGTGCTACCAACTGGTTTCCTTCTCCCTTGCCTCCTCTTTCTCTAAACTATCCAGCCCAAGAATCTTCCAAAAGCACAGTTCTGATCTTGTAATTCCTCTCAAGAACAACTTAAGAGGCTCCCCCTTGCCCTCTAGACCAGTGGTTCTCAACCTTGGCTGCACATTAGAATCACCTGGGAATCTTTTTAAAATCCTGATGACTGGGCCTCATCCTCCGGAAATTCTGTGTCTTTGTTACTAATGTTGTGGCCCCACCCCATAACAAAGAAACAGAATTTCCGGAGGATGAGGCCCAGAAATCAAGATTTTAAAAAGATTCCCAGGTGATTCTAATGTGCAGCCAAAGTTGAGAACCACTGCTCTAGATAAATCAAGTTTGTACTGATTAGCTGACCTTCACTGATCTCTTTACTCTGTTCCCAGACTCACGTTCTGTAATATTCCAAGCCTTTCAGAAGGGATTGTGATGGTTAATTTTATGTGTTAATTTGAGTGGGCCGTCTACTAGTAAACATGGTTTCTGGATATGTCTCTGAGGGTCTTTCCATAAGAGTTAGCATTTGAACCTGTGGACTCAGTCGATTGCCCTCCCCCACGTGGTTTTTCCCATCACTGATTCAGCTGGGACATCTTGTCTCATCTCCAGCCCTTAGATTGGAATTGACATCATCTGTCCCCTGATTCTCAGATGTTCAGGCTTGAACTAAATGACACCACCAGCTTTTCTGGGTCTCCAGCTTGCAAACGTCAAATTAGAGGGCTTCTCAGCCTCTATACTACCATGAGCCAATTACTCATAATAAAACTATTTTTTTCTGTTTTTCCAGAGAACCAGAGCCAATAGGATATGATATATATCTGGAAACCCATCTAATACAGACGGTCTTATGATCTGAGCCTTGCCTTCCTTTGTAGCGTCTCCATCATCACATAGACACACAGACACGGATATATTCACACACTACACAGACACATGCACACCTGTTAATAAACACGGACACTCGGATATACTCACAGACCTACACAGGTACCTGCACACCCATGAATGAACACACACACACACCCTGTGCTCTAGCTATCCTGAAATCACTTGCTGGTTTTCAATGTTACCATGTTGTCCCTGTATCTTATACGCCTTTGCAGATATTGTTCCCTTTGCTCAGGACACTTGTCTTCCTCTTTTCCTCTTGGCGAATTTCTCATCTCTATGATTCAGCTCCAAGATTATCAACCCCTGTGAAGTTTTTCTCGATGCTGCCTGCTCTTCACCCAGCCCAGCCCTGTAGACACCTGGGAAGGTGTCTCCATCTCTGTAGCTCAGGGTTTGTTCCCAGGACCTTTTCTCTTCTCTGCATATTTCCCTGTGAGCTCATCCACTCCTGTGCCTTCACTTACCATCTATGTGCTGATAATGCTTGAGTGACAACCAGTCAGCAGAGTGCAAGCAGCAAGAGCACCCTGGACAAGCCTTGTGCATAGGGAAAAAAGAGGCTGGGAAGCAACAGGCTTATTGCGGGTTTATTTTCTTCTGATGGCACCAGGTCCACTTGGGTTCCAGGAGTGCCTCTGTCAGTTTTCTGATGATGGACCCAGTGTTCATTCAATCTCCTTTATCCTTCCTTTTCTTGCACTGGGAGTGCACAAATTAATCACCCCCATGGGGTGGGGTTAAATGAGATGTTTCCATATACAGGATTTAACAGTGTCCCACACATGATAATAACCCTTTAAGTGTCTGTTACCATCATCCACATTTTCCTATTTTCTACAATAAACACTTATTTCTTAGAGACTTGGGGAAAAAAATGACAGATGTTACATATAAATCCAACTTCTGCTTCCAGACTGGGCTGCAATGCTGCCTCCTCTAGGAGGATTTTCCATGTCAGTAGACCTGCTGCTCCCTTTCATGCCACAGATGCTTTGCATGTGTCTTCTCTCACCTTCCGGAGGGCACACTCCTTGTAAGCTGGGATCTTGCCCCCAGTATAGCACCAGGACTAATGAGCATGTTCCTTAGTATTATGAATAACCAAAGTGGATGTCCATTTAGTTTACTGAAGGAAATTATTAATGCCCTGGCCAGTTGCTCAGTGGTTAGAGTGTCAACCTGAGGACTGAATGAAGGGTTGTGGGTTTGATTCCTGATCAAAAGCATCTACTTTGGTTGCAGGCTAAATACCCAGCCCCAGTGAGGTGGGCGTTGGGGAGGCAACCAATCAATGTGTCTCTCTCTCTCTCTCTCTCTTTCTCTCTCTCTTTCTCCCCCGCCCCTCACTTCCCCTCCTTCCCTTCCACTCTCAAAATAAATAAATGGGAAAAAAATATCCCCGGGTAAGGATTTAAGAAAAGAATGAAATCATTAACGATAATGTTAAGTGTCTGAGTCTGAGTGACCTGAAAAAACACTGAAGATAGCAAACAGATCAGTCAAATGTTAAATATTAGCCCCATGCTATTAGAAAACTCAGTGTCTCAGAGAATGAAAAAGGACATTTAAATCATCCAAAATTCCACCTCACAGAAGTCATCAACATGAACAACTTTATTCTTTTCCTCTAGTCTTCCTAATTTGCCCCATCTTTTTTCTTCCAAGCATACATATTTTAAGAGATAGAGTTATTCTGCACATTATTTTGCATTTCAATTTTTTCCTCAAGAAATTTCCTAAAACTTGATAGTATAATCATTCCCCATGCTACTAAATATTCATCCAAAATATTCTTGTCTGTGTGGCTGCAAAATATTCCAAGATATGTTTATATCTTAACTGGAGAATTTTGAATCCCCATTTGGTTGTTTCTGTTTTCAAACTGCCGTAATAATGCTGAGATGGCCCTCTTTGTGCATAAATAACTCTTTTCTTCAAAACCAGAAGTCTTATGTGTGTTATCCTCTAAGAAATACAGACACACAATAAGCATATACTAAACATTTAAAAAGAAACAAAAAGAGAAATTAAATTACTGGGATTATTTTACCTATCAGATTAGCAAAGATTTATAAAGTCATCATGATGAATATGTGTCATGTTGAAGCATAAATTGAGGCAGTCTTTTGAGAGGCCAGTTTGCCAATTGTATCAAAATGTCAGTGTGTTTTCATTCCT